GCCGGGCACATGGCGGCGGCGGCGGCTGCAGGCTGGGAAAGGGGAAAGCTCGCCTTCGCTAGGGTTTTAGGATCCGCGCGTAACGGCGGGAGGGTTGCTATTAACGGCAGGGGTCTCACCGGCCAGGCTTTCTGTTCATTCTTGCAGGCCCATGCGGCCATGCCCAACGCGGCCCGCCCAACGAAGGATGTGACCTATGTGCCTAAAAAAACAAAAATATTCCTCTTTTCTGGAGACTTTCTGTTCTTTTTTATTTACTTATTACTTATTCTTTTAAAAAACAATCTTCTCGGGTTCGCATTATAGGGTTCCGCATTTCCATCCCAGGCACGGAGGGATGCGTTTGCTAAAAATAAATAGGTATGTACGACGTTGCATTGTACTTTTTTTTAGAGCAACGTGCTACCTAGACAGTGGTATAAGTGTACCACCAGTATATATGGCCATCGGGCCGGCCCGGCTCGGCACGGCCCGCTGGTGTCGGGCCGGCACGGCACGCCGTGCCTCCCGTGCCGTGCCTTACCGGGCCTCGTGCCCCCGTGCTGATGCCTCAAGCACGGCCCCTCGTCGAAAATTCGGCCGTCTTTGCAAGACAAACCCGACCAAAACTTACGGGCCGTGCCAGCCCACAACCCGAAATGTAGAAAACCGCTCATCATATTCTTAATCAAGAGCACATTCATAATTTTGACAAGTCATTTACAGAATCACAAAAACAACTTAACTATTTAACAACTTAACAGCAAGACTCAAACACAACAAAAGACAGAGATTTAAAGATAGAAATGAGCTGTGTACAATGCTGCATTATTAAAAACCTTTTTGGGTAAAACTCACCCTTGTGAGAAACCCCAGAAAGGAAAAAAGAGTGCAGCACAGCTCTTATAATGTTCAAATGTTCACAATACAAATACCAGATACATGCATCATGTCTCAACTCTCAAGCCTCACATGTCTCAATCTCAACTCTCTCAAACTGAACTCTCAACTCTCAAATCTCGGTAGCAAAGCAGGAAGCATAACAGAAAGCACTTGCGAGATGTGCTAGCGAAGGAGGCCCAGATCCATCTTCAGAACATCAAGATCTGATTCTCAAAGGACTCTTGCCTCTTGGTTGTCGGCCAGAATGTTGAAGTCTTCTATCACCCACTCCCTAGTCCTTGATGCAAGCAAGCATCTCCACATGTTCAGCAGAAGTCTTGGCGCCCGCTCCTCAATAATCCTTCCCGTTAAAACAAACATGATTCTCAAGAGACAAGAGAAATGGAGATGACCATAATATCTATTGCCATTATAGAAAGAATAGGATAGGTTAGTTTGTGGTCACACCACCAGAGAAGCAAATCAAAATCATCCTCATATGCAAAGGACATTGTCACTATCCGTATAAGTTGTGAGCTCACAAGCAACAGAGGCAAAGCAGATTGAGTTGAAGTGGAGACAGAGGCGGGGGAGGAGGACCAACAACAAATGATGATCCAGGGCATAAAGATCCTTCCCCATGCTTGTTTCCTTTGCCTAAGTTGATCTGCAGGATGTGCGTGCCTTTTGAGACCTTGTAGAACCATACTTGTCATTCATACTTGGCAAATAACTTGTAAATTTCAGTTTTAACATCAAGATAATATTTATTGTAATCAACACCAATGTTCTCTTTAAGTATTACCAGCACATTAAACAAACCTCTCAACTTAGCTCTAGGATCAAGAATGAAAGCAATAGAATATAACAGAGGTATATTTTCCCAATACTTAAGATATTTAAGCTTTATAGGATAGACAACCGCCATTAGATTTTGATCTTTTTCACTTTCATGCAAATGATGAGCAATGTCAAGCATATGGTGCAGAATTAGTGGACTAGTTGGATAGTAAACACCAGATAGAACACATGTTGATTCATAAAATAATTCCAGAAACTCCAATATCTTGGCAGCAATGAGCCAATATCTTGGAGTCAACAATGTGCAGCCAAAATTTGCATTAATGAACACAGAAAAAACCTCCTTGTAAGGTAGCAAGTGTTTAAGCATAAGGTATGTAGCATTCCATCTCACATCCATATCTAAACCAAACTTTCTAAGTCTAACACCCTGAGCATTGCAATAATTCTTAAACATGGCAATTCTATGATTAGATGAATTTAAGAAGTTAATAGCAGTTCTAAAATCCTCTGTGTAAGTTTTAAATCTCTTTAAACCAGATTTCACAATCAAATTAATGATATGGCAAGCACAACGCGCTTATTAGGATCTGATGAAGTAGGTGTTGGATCGAACCTAAATAACATGCAAACATGGTGTCAAAGTCTCCATTGCCTTAGCATTGGAGGAAGCATTGTCTAGAGTAATGAATAAATCTTGTCAATCATACCAAATTCTCAACCACACAAGCAATTTTTTCTAAATGTTCTCACCAAAGGTGCTTCACCTCAATCAACCTTGAGGCCAATTACCTTTTTCTCAGTAGCTCCCAATCAGACTCACATAATGAGCAACTACACTAATGTAGTCCTCCTTAGCATTTCCGCACCATATGTCGATGTCAAAGCAATGATGATGCACCGCACAAAATATGATTCTTAAGCATATTACGACGCTCAATAAATAGAGCACGAAGATCTCTAGTGGTGGATCTGTCTAGACACCCCACGAAAACCTAGGGTTATGAGCACGTTGAATGTACTCCTCAAATGCATCTCAGATCACCAATACCCAAAGGCAAATCAAGCCTAGCAATCAATCTGCAGAGTTCATTCTAGCTACCTCGGGTTTATAATCCCGCTTATGCACGTAACCATCGAGATTGTAAGATAGTCTAGATTGAACCCTATCACGTTGATCGGTTTTTCTCGCCTACAAGAGTTCGGTGCCTCTTCAAGTGACCAAAGTGCAAAGACTAGATCTAGCAGACAAGGTTGACTTACACATTTTACATTTAGCTTTAGTGCAAATCAGACTCCATTCACAGCCTCAAATATCTCTTCAAAATCATCCCGATGGAGATTTGCGCTTACCAACCTTACCATTACCAAAGCAGACAACAGATGGAACAGAGCGATTGGAGTTGGAGCCGATCGGGTTCGCAGACGCCGTCGCCCCTTCACCACCACCGCCGTCTCCGAGATCGACACCGAACAACGAGAGCGTCATCACGGATGTCGTCGCCGTTCTCGCCTCGGGGGCCATGCCGTGTGGAAGCTCGCCATCGTCTTCACCATGGCCGCCTCTCCAAAGACCAGTACCTCAGCAGTGTGGGTGGCCGCCTTGCTCCTCGCTCTATGCCGCAGCTAGAGCTTGAAGCATCGACTACCGACCTACGAAGGAGGAAGGAATAGATCAGTTAGAGATCTCATCAAAAAAAGAAGAAAGATGGGGATTAGGGTTAGCCGGTTAGGGTTAGGGTTAGGTGCTTACCTTCACAACCGAGAGCCCGTGCTTAGAGAAGAAGACGACGACGGCCCCGTGGCCAGAGAAGACGACACAAGGTCAGCAAGGACGGCGAGCGGCGGAGGAGGGACAAACGGGGTCAACAAACTCACATAATCACCGAGATCTAGAGGGGAGAAAGGTAGAGGGAGAAGGGAGAGGTAGAGAGGGTGGGGAGCACGCCGGCGTCGGTGGTTCGAGGTCACCGGAGTCGGGGTCGACGACGGCACAGTGGATACGGTCATACGGCGAGGCGAGGCGATCGTCAGAGGCGAGAGTGAAAGCGACGGCAACAAGGCAGGATGGATGGAGAGTGGAGAGGAGAGGAGTCAATCGGGATTTAGGTTTAGGGTTTGTGAGGGGCGCCGGCTGCCTCGCGCTTATATGGCAGGGGGAGGGCCGGGAGGCCAAAGCGCCATTATGGTCATGGGCCGCTTAGCAGCAGCCATGAGTCGCCGCCGGCCGACCTCGGCCGCTTGCTTATTATCATCTTAGCGGGCCGTGCCACCAATTGGGCTTATTGCTGACGACGCCTGTGCACTATCAGAAGTTGCGTCACGGGCCCCAGCCCAGAGGCAGAGACCTCGTGCGGGCCGGACTCGTGTCGGGTCAAATTAGCGGGCCGTGGGCCAGGCTACCGGGCCTCGGGCTGCATGGCCAAGTATAACCACCAGAGCACTATGTGCTGTTTGGATGGCGTCATGTCTAGACGCTTGGATCCGGGCCTCCATGAACCAGACCGGCCTAGATTTCAACGTCTAAGATCGCTTCCTGGTGATGCAACGGCCTGGAATTAACGTCTAAGATCGCTGCCTGGTGATGCAAAAGTGAGGCGGCTTTTGCATGGAGGCCAATCTTGGATCATGTATAAATTGAATATGGTTTGGACAAGTCTGATACAAATTAAGACAAGTTTTGTCAGTATTTTGGAATGATAAAGCCCTAAACTTGCTAACAAGCACGAACGTCTAGTCCCCATCCACAAACTGTTGAACGAAAGCTCTGCCAGCCCAGCTGTAATAGCGGAGAACCAGTCATGAAAGTACACCTTCCAAGTAGTACATAACTAGTAACTAGTAGTACTAATTAAGATCGAGCAGTACTAATGACCGCATACAGAAATAAGTAAAGGATACAGTTGAATCAAGTTTTATTGCCGAACTTCAGATGCTCAGATGGGGAGAAAAGAAGAAAAAGAGACAACTGCCCATAGGCATTGTAGGCATCCTGAAACCAGAAGACGCTATTGCTCCCAATCACTGTATATACATGGAGGAATACACGTACAGCTGTGACAATTGTACAGCGCCAGTTGCGGCGGTGTGCCTAGTGCACATATCTCAGCAAGACCTCCAAGTATCAGATTGGGCTTATGGGCTGGGAATTCAGCCACTGCACTCATGGACCATCTCATCTCCTCGCTGGCATGACACTGGAGGTAGTAAGCAGCAGTCTGCCGAAACAAGACCAATGTTGCATCACCACCTCATTGGATTCTTGTTGGTCCATGCTTAAGCGAGCAGTTCCACCCAGTATTTGATACCCAGGTGACAAAAAGAGCTTCCCCAGCACCCTAATGTGCTGCAGAACATTTTTCTCGGCTGTTATTCATGTGCTCATCTTCCACCAAGACTGAAGCATCATCAAATCCAGCTATAGGCACAAACTCATTTAGGTCGAGGAATTTTCTCCGGATACTTCTACTCTCACTGACAGGAACAATTGATTTCTCTATGCACTGCTGCTGTGCTTTATTTACTTCATTGTCTTCTTCCTCTCGGTCTTGACTTGTTGACAGCTCCATATCATTTAGTGCGTCAGAACCAGCATCCGGATCTGATGCATTGCATTTCTCTGACTTCCCAAATTCTGTATTTGCACCAAAAGTATCAAGCTGTTGATAGTTAATACGTGGGCGGGTGGAGCGCTTACTGCGTCTGATGCCAATTTGGATTTCATCAATAGATTTCAACTTGGTCCCTTGAGGGATGAGAAGTGGAGATCTTTTGTACCATTGGAGCTCTTCTGTGCCTTCATTAGCACTCAAAGAATGATCCACTTCATCATCACCATCATTGGCAACTTGCTCCAACTGAAACTCATCATCATTTTCAGAAAGGCTTGCCTTGTGCCATTTTCTTCTTCTAAGATAGTCTTCATCATAGACTGCTTCACCCATGATATCATCATCACTGTCAAAATCTAGGTCAATATCTGATACGGCCTCAACATAGTCTTTTGTGTACCTTTGAGATCTTTTTCTCTGCCTGTAGCTACATCGGCATAACACAAGTTAATAGTCTAATCTGTTCTAGAAAAGAAACAGATAAACACCATTAGTTAAGGAGTTACCTGCGATGGAGAGTGTCAGACTTTCCTTCACCCTTTTTTGCTTTGTAATATGACTTCGCTGGAGTTTCTCCATAGAATCCTTTGCATAATGGCGAGGGGCCAATCTCAACAGCATTCTCATTTTTCCTGTAAAAAATATAGTACAGAAAGTTGCTTCATGATTTTGTGTTTTTTTATAAATTCATAAATAGATGGAACTACTGAGAACAGAAAAATCCACTTACTTTATTGTTTTTATGGCTTCATTTATTGAACGATCATAATCATCTGCATGATAAATTAAGGAAATCATTAATAAAACTATAATCTTCTTCTATTAATGCAATAATACACAGCTCTCCTACGTGTTCGAGAAAAAAAAAGAAAACTAGAAAAACGTATACAGACTGGTCTTATTCCAATATACAGTGCAAAATACATTGAATGAACATATAGATAGAATGCTTTTAGAATGAAATTCTGCACTAGTGCACATTAACAAACATGATGTCCCCTTCAAAAAATATCATGACATGAACACTTAGGGGGTGTTTGGTTCCTGGCCACGCTTTGCCACACCTTGCATGTGGCTGCCACAGAGAAATTGGTTGTTGTTTGGTTACTGAATAAGCCAGCCTTTTTCTCCGCCACATCCTTCGGCGGCGCCACAGCCTGCATGGCTAGCAGCGGCCAGCAACCAAACAACCTTTTAACGTTTAGGCTAAAGAGAATATTTGGTGACAATGGTGAGCATCTGCAGTAGTGTCGTGACCTTAACACAAGTTTTTGCTAAGTGGATGAACGCCCTTTTACTATAGGCTCATATGGCCCATGGGTTTCTCTATATGTAGTGTAGCCATCTCCATTAATGGAGTGCTCATCTTCTCAAACCTCCAAGTTTAGTAACATGGTATCAAAGCAGTTTTAACAGCTTACTAGGAAATGGGAAAATCTTGCTGAGTTGCTGAAATTTATAAATTGTTGAAATATGATACTACAGATAACATACCAGCAAGGTAGAATAAATACAGCACTTAGCTACTATTCTGCTGATGAGAAACATATGAGAAATGATAGTGAGGCCATATTTAAAGCTGTGTGACTAAGCTTAGCAAGTTCAAATCACAGTATGATTAGGAGACAGTATTGGCATGACAATACTCATGCAGGTTGCAGGAAATGATAAATCAAACATCTAATGTAAAGGAATGACTATATGAACAGAAAACTGTAGCAGCTCATCAGCAGAAATCTGGGAAACCCTGATTTATCTAGCTAAATTAATTAATAAAAACATTAACTTGAGCCTTGGGATTACCAAAAGTATAAGTCACACGTTTTCTTTCACGACGAGAGCGGCCAGATGTCAATCCATTCACCGTCAAGTAGCTATCGAGGAGGAGGGCTTCTCTTTGTTGCTTTTTTAGCAACTTCTCCTTCTTCTGCAAGAGTAAATAATGGTAACTTATTACAAGATGAGAATAATAAGGCATCCTATTCATTGCTAATAATTTTAACTCTCTGGAAGCTGCAGTGGAATACCTTGTGAATCTTTTCAATCTCTGGAAGATAATTGAACGTCAGCTTCTTCCCAAGAGAGACTTCTGTCCTGTTCCTACTTGAAAAGAGTTTTTCCTGCTTAAGATAGGCAGAAGACAACTAAATCATCAAACTTTGGCAGTTTCATCAGTAGCAAAATTACTAATACTGTTCTTTGAAATTCTAATATATTTATCGTCACAAAAACTTTACACTTTACTATAGATAAGCTATTCTAGTGTGACCTGTGCAGACACACTCAGAAAGTCAGAAGTGGATTTAGGAAAACACATTTCGTTCAAAGTAACCCCAACAGCGTCATGTGGCTTGGATACATGCAAGTGAAATACTTAAATCCCAAACTTTGTGCTAACAGCCTAACATATCCCAAGCTAATATGATAGATGTCATGAATTCATTTTTTTTATCACAGAATAATTGCAGCATAATAAATATAAAAAAAACTGGACCTACCTAAAAAAATATATTAAAAAATAGGAATTCTGAAAAGGAGCATTTTCTACAGATACCCCAAGTGCGATTGGTACTCCCTCTGTTCCAAGCTGTAGGTGGTTTTATTTTTGTCATAAATCAAACTTCAATAACTTTGACCAAGTTTATAGAAAAAATCACCAACATCTACAACATCAAATTAGATTCATTAAATCCACCATGAAATGTCTTGATAGTGCACTTATTTTGCTATTATAGATGTCAACATATTTTTCTATAAACTTGGTCAAAGTTAGATAAGTTTGACTTAAGACAACCAAAACAATCTACTATTTGGAACAGATGAACAGTAATCAATAACTAATTAGTCATGATACAAAGTCATAGAAGCACACAAAGAAATGAACACCATGTTTTACATTATTATCACAGGAATCACAATATCTTCTTGTTAGTTGTTAGAACATAATGATACTTGTGGATGGTGATCTATGGACAAAGATGAATCAATCAATTGTTCCATTAACTTATAGACTACCCAAGAAAATATAAGATGAACTCAAAACTTACTGCAGCTATTTTAAACTCATCAAAGTTGCAAGCTACAGCCTCCCAGTGATAGGAGATAACCGGAACAGTAGAAACTCCCTTTCCTTTAGATTTTTTTGTTGACTCCTTCACACGCTCCACACGTCTAATTTCACGATACAACCGATGCCCGAGGATTGGATCATCTTCATACCTGTAGCGCAATAGCTGAGTAGAGATGCCCCAGATCACAAAAAAATACTATCTGAATAAAGTTATTGTATGCTCACCAGTATGAGATTCCATGTGAATCTCCTCCAATTCTTTCTTTACGGAAGATGGAAAGATGATAACCATGCTTCAAAGAACTATCAATGAAGTTCCGAACGTCCTCTTGCTGCAAAATAGGTGTTAGCATCTCAGTGGTTTTTTTTTTCTCAAACGCGCACAAGAGCTGCATGTCATTTCATTAAGAAGAAAGCTACCCGGCTCAGTGTATATTTGAAACAGAAGAAACCTACATAAAACATGCTCATGACCAGGTAACTTAATTGTTACATTTGCAGCTATTCACAAGCATTTCTAAACAATTCCCAATATTGCCGTGAAGAGCATTTACCAGCTCACAAGGGGTGTCACATGGCATCTCAATAGGAATCTGGGAGAGCAAACAAAGCACATATCTAAGCCTCTTGTTATTAACCACACAATTCATTCACACAGGAACACAAGACAAGAGGTGCTTATGTTCTCTCCCAAAAAGTGGAATACACAAATTTTAAAGAATGTTGGATCGAAAGAGATGCTTATGTGGTCTCCCAAAAAGTGGAATACACAAATTTTAAAGAATGTTGGATCGAAATTGCATTCACTCACTACCCCACCACTAAAAGAGAGGCAGTCCTACCTCAAGTTTTGCTATAATATGTTTCGTTTTCCTGTTTTTTTGTTCAATTCACCTGAAGGGCTATTCCCTTCTCAGGCTGTCAGACATGTTTTGTCTTCACCAAAAACTCATTTATAAATTGCTGTCGTGGCTCCTAAAGCAACTTGGATTATCATTGAACCTTCACGTGCTTCACAGCATCATTTTGAATTTAGCAAGCACAACATCTTCGACAAACTTAAATCAGCTGATATGATGCCTAATTGCAGATTTGTAGGAAGATATACAGACATGGAAATAACAACTTACTAGACATAGATCATTGGTACAATACTAGTTAATCAAGGTTCAATATAATATCTAGCAGAATCCACAAAGACACTGAATGTGACAAGGAAATTGAGGATAATAGACTATAATCAGCTCAGCAGCCCTAGAAAAGATGAACCAAATGCAGGGCAGTAGGTCTTATTCCACAAAAGCAAAATACATTACACTTTAGTTCAATTGTAACATTTATAATATTTCACAGAATAATAGGGCGCATACCTCACCACGTATATCACATATGGCTTTCAGGATCACTAATCGAATTCCTGGCTCAAGTGCCTTGTACAGCTCAGTTTCCGCTCTGAATACGGTGAGTAAAGTCGTCATATTTATGGTTAAATCTACAGATCCAGTTATGGAACTGCCTGGATACTAACTCACCCGTGTGAGGCAACAATCGGTAGATCGCCTTCTGCAACCTGCAGTTCTAATCTTTATTAGCTTATCAACCAAATGCAGTTTCATCCCTTATGTAAAATTGTTCTTGGCGGGGAACATGTCATATACCCAATGCCACCAGTGCTTCAATTTTTTACATAACACTGCTATCCATGTTCCACGTCCCATGGCCATTCGAGTTACTGGAGGAATTGACTGCAAATGCGATTAAGAAGCACAACGAAACCTATAAGATACTTGAAATTTTGTTTATTACTATGATTTTTAGTTAGTAGTACCTATAATGGACAAACCAAACAGAGTTGTCATAACATGGCATATGTATCCTAAAACATGCTAAACTCCTTTATGAGTGAAGTTCTTCAATGTTCTGTTCCACACAGATGTATACCTTTAGCAAAATTACCAGCACAGCATGGTATATTGCAAGTATGGAGTAGGAAGTGGTAGTAGTAGCATGCACTACTCCTATACCAGCAGAAACATTATTTGTCAAGAAATAAAGAATGCATAGCCCAAGACACCACAACATGTGGCATCATGGCGAGCACCCAGCCGCATAACTTTCCCAAAAACTCCCCAATTCCATAGGCAGTTGAAAGCAGCAGCAAATTTAAAATTCATGATGAACACAAAAATTACAGAGAAAGCTACAAATTCACCTTTAACAGAGGAATATGCACGTCATCCAACGTCCCATTGGGCGTTATGATCGCGTCCTCCAGCTCCTCCGCAGTGAACTCCACCGCAATGTTCAGCAATGGCCGGAACACCTGCCGCTCCGAAGCAGATCAACCATATCATACCCAAACAATCAACTCTGAAACCTAATCACTAAGTCCGCTCGTAATGGAGAGTAGAAGCAGCTGAAGGCTGAAGGGAACGGAAAAACTAGAGCGCTTACGTGGAGGAAGTTGAGGATGGAGGCGAGCTCCCACATGCCGCGCAATCTCCAACGCGGCAGCTCAGCGGGCGACGCCGGCTCCTCCACCAGCGGCGTCACCACGCGGTACTCCGGCGTCTCGTCCCCCGCATTCCCGCTCCGCCTCGGCCGCGGGGGCGGAGGCGCGGGCGCGGGCGCGGGTGCGGGGGTGGGCGGCGCCGCGTTCGGACGGTAGTGGCACGCGCGCGGGAACCGGGCCCTCCTTGGGGTCAGCGCCGCGGGTTCCTCCCGCGCAACCGCGCCCTCCGCCGCCGGCTGCAGCTGATCCTGCGGCGGGGAGGCCGCCGCCATCCCCAGAGACCCCGTTGGGATTTGGGACGGGCCGGATCGAGGGTGGGTCGGGGGTCGGGATCAGGGTAGGGCTCGGTCGGGGAGGAGGGCTCGGACTCACGGGGAGCGGGCAAACTGAGCAGGTCGCGCCGTGGCAGTGGAAGCCATGTGAGGACGAGAGTGAGGAGGGGAGGGGAAAGGAAGGGGGAACGGGGAAGACGACGGGGGTGAAAGCGGGATTTCGTGTGCGAGATCAGGAGGGGTGTTGGGGAACAGATCAACAGAACCGTTACCGTTTTTGTAGGCCAGGGGGTAAAAATGAGATTTCCTAGCTGTGCTGGGTTTTCGCGAGGTTTAAGTTGGACATGGTCGAGGTTTCTGAATCTGAAAGTCTGAATCCAAAACTGGTGCAACCGGAAGGATGGCCTTGGATGGATTTGTTCAGGACACAAGCACAAAATCACAGCAACAAAGCAAGAACTGATTTATTCATCCTTCTTCTGACAAACGAACGCGATCTACAGAAATTCCATGGAATACATGAATAGCTGAAACAGTCTTCAGATTCAGATCAGATGGGGGGAAAATGAGCGCCTCATCAAAATACATGTTCCGACTGGAATTGCAGCTCCAAGCAATGAATAAAACTGCGTTTTGGAACATGGTGGTTTCAAAAAATAAAAATGGAAAAAATGATCTACAAGCACGGCCATGATTGATCACGGTTCATTTTATTTAGAGGCTACCTAGATCCATCTCGTTCATGAAACCCTTTCGTAGCCACTGCCAATCTGCATGTGAAGCCATTCCGAGGTCGACGTGCCCTGGGTGTATTCTCTACTGGTTTGCGTATCAAATGTCAGCCCAGGGGCTGTGTTGTATGTCTGAGCACCATACTGCAAACAACGACAAAAGTAAATATTTAGGAACAGGCGCATGGGATTAGTGGAGAATGCGAAAATAAATGGCAAATCATATGAAAGAAAAACAGAGAAATTCATTAAGATACTTCAGTGCTGCATCCTCCTCTGCAAATTCATACTTAAAACTCACAATGCATGATTTCAAACAGGAATGTTGCTTTTTCAAAAATTCAGTAGTCCTCACAAAGCATCACCCATGTGTTTGGGGAGCAGCACATAGAAGCACACAAAGAATAAACACAAATAGGTACATCTTGGACTTAACTACACATTTTAAAAGTTGACTTACATCTTTGACTGGAAATGCTTCAACTCCCTGGTTCGCGTGGGCATTAACCGCCTCAAGCTTCATGGACAGGAACTGCAAGCACAAATTATATATCGTTAGCTTGAATATGGAGGGGAAAGCAATTCTATAGGAGAAACAGTTATCGAAAAATGGCATACCTCAACTTGGCATTGCAACGACTGGATGTAATTAATTATCTCATCAAGTACTGATGCTTTGCCAATAACCTGACCAAGCAAGAATAAAATCATTTCGTTATTAACAGGAAGGAAGCTCGGGAAGGATTAAAATGAGAAAACATGAACGGCATTGGATGCCTGTTGAGATCAAAGTGCACCTTGTTGCAGCCAGGCACGAGATCTTGGAGAACTTTCATCCGTTCACTTATTTTCTCACGTCGTGCCTGTCAAAACAAGCTCTTTAAGTGCTCAATTTGATGTTGTATATAACCAACAGCACTACTAATTTTACCGCTTTAGACCACTTTGGATTCATACAATGGCATATTTAGAACATGGTATAAAAATTATAGTAACATATAAGAATAGTCAAAACAGAAAATATTACAATCCACTTACCCTTTCTGCAAGACTATGACTATCAGTTGCTTGGCCCCTCCTTGCTCTGACATGGATATAATCTTGTTTTGGTGGCTCTGCTGCTGGAAGGCTTTTACTAACAGCCTTGCCAGCACTTCTTGAGTCAGTCTCAGCCTCTGTTCTTAGACTGCCATTATTATTACTGGACTTATTTGTTTTGGAACGTTTTGCTTCTGGATCGGTCTGCCCATAAAAAGATCAGGATACACAAGGGTTAGAACAATTAAACTTCAGCTCTCCACAGATGCCATAAATATTTGGTCCTTTTTTAAAAAATGTAACCAAGACTTTCTCATCTCAAAAGTTAAAACAGTTGTTTAAATGCCAAAATTCAACACAGAACATGATTCATGAACATATGGGGCAACTGTCATAGCAAGTTAGCAACCACTGAAAAAAAAAATCATAGATCATATATGACCAATAATGATTCACCCACCAATATGATTACGTATGACTTCTAACAATGCAACCATGGCAGGCTACTAAATGCAAGCATAAATGCAGATACCAACATTTGGTTAAGATCATTCTAATTGCGAGCCTTTATAGGTTGTATACTGACGCACAATACCAAGATTATATAGGAACCATGGAGTGGACCATGCTACCATAGCATCGCCTGCGATTATGAATTCCAGCCAAAACATTTTGTGGGTCAACATTAGTTGGTTAGTGATAAGTATTGTAGAGAGCTGATTGGACTTCATTGTTTATCTAGCAACAGCCTTTCATTTATTAGAGTATCACAGCATGCATAGTTCCAACAAATATTACCCTAAAAGTGGAGTTACCATGCGCATACCACTCAACATGGCCAGTTTAAACAGTTGCTTCCTAAAGGCTAGATCATGCCATCATGTTAAGTTGCCAAGCAAAACTGGCACTCTTAAACATTGCGATACCACAATAAGAACGGAGTTTATGTGCAGAGTAATTGTGCCATCTTATTGAACCCATAGTATCTGAATGATAAATTATACAACATGATTATAAGTATATGACACTGAATGTACTGAATTTAACCAAGATAGGTACTTTTGCTAGTACTCCTGCAATGGATTGGCCTAACAATTTTCCCCTCTAAGTAACTGCAGTTCTTCTCATAACTTGGCTCTCACAAAAGTTTTAATACTAGCAAAGCAGGCGTAAAGGTATTTGATCAAGCTTCTAGATAATTTTATACAGGATTGACATTCCCATACTTTACAGGACTTTCAAAGCATTTTTGGCCCCTGCCGTTCTAAGGCCTTGTTTAGTTCCCCCAAACTCCCAACTTTGGCACTATGCAACATCAAATTTGCGGTACATGTATGGAGTACTAAATGTAGATGAAATCAAAAACTAATTGCACAGTTTGGTTGAACTTTGCGAGACGAATCTTTTGAGCCTAGTTAGTCAATGTTTGGACAATAATTCACCAATACAAACGAAATTGCTACAGTGTTTGCCGTCACATCAAACACTGTGCAGATGCCGATTCGGCAGCGAACTAAACGCGGCCTAAAATAAAACTGTTCTAACCTTTAAGGCAGCCTAATTTACTTCAGCTACAAACAGGCTACAGTTGCTACGCCACTAGCTACAGCTGCAATGCTCGTTCAGTAGCTCATTTGAACAAACTGAACAGAGCTAATAAAAAACAGCAATGAGAGTAATATTGCCAAAATTAGGACGACTTACACTGAGGTCAGCGTATCGGATAAACAGATCATACCGGCATGCTCAGTTCCATACTAAACCATGATGCTACCATTTTGTCTTGGAAACCTCCCAATTCCGACCCCTGAAGCCCCATTGGCCCCAAAACGCCAAATGCCACACGGATCACGAGTCAATGCAGTGAGAGGACCTACCAAATCCTGGCCGCCGCCGCCGCCGCCGCCGGAAGTAGAGACGATCCGGGACGAGTCTTCCTCGGACGCCGGGGTCTCCCTCGGCCTTCTCCGGACGGCGCTGCCTCCTCCGTGGCCGCCGCTGCTCTTCTCCGTGACGGCCGAGGTCGCCTCCACCGGGCGGCCGCCGCCCGCGGCGAGGTGCGGTGGGCACCAGAGCTCCGCAGCGACCGCCGGGGACGGCTCCATGGGGGCAGGCAGCGGAGCAACTCGCGAGGCGGGTCTAGGGTTTCGGAGGCGCGTGCGACGGGGAGACCGATGCGAACAGATCAGGGAGTGTGGACACTGGAGGGAGAGGGAAAGCTCGCAGTGGTCAGTGGCACTGTGCAGCGTGCACACTTGCGGTGGAGAGAGAGTGTGCAGTGTGCAGTGTGCACACTTGACTGTGCTTGTTTAGTTCAAAAAAAAATTCTTAAAAAGTGCTATAGTGGTTATCGCATCGAATCTTGTGATATGTGTATGTAGCATTAAATATAGATGAAAAAAAAAAAATTACATAATTTGGTTGGAAATTACGAGATGAACGTTTCGAGCCTAATTAGTCTATGATTGAATACTAATTATTAAATAAAAATAAAAGTGCTACTGTAGTCAAATTATCAAATTTCGTGAACTACACACGCACGAAATGAGCCTCGGGATTTTGCCACGCGGTGATTGGAGGAGTAGGGCTGACCCTGACAGGACGAGGGTAAAGTAAACGCGCTTTCACCGCAAAGCACGGGATTTAGGTGGTTAATTTAGCTTGGTAAAAACTAAGGGTGGCAGCGACAAACGTTTCAAATTTTATATTAGGCCTTGTTTAGTTACCCTCAAAATTCCAAGTTTTTTTACTCTCTCTCCATCACATCAATTTTTAGCTGTTTGCATGGAGTATTAAATGTAGGTAAAAAAATTAACTAATTGCACAGTTTAGTTGGAAATCACGAGATGAATCTTTTGAGCTTAGTTGGTCCACGATTGGACAATATTTACCAAATAAGACGAAAGTGCTACTATTCATCGGATTGAAATTTCTTTCAATCTAAACAAGGCCTCGGTAGAATCGCTATAATTACATCAAACAGTATAAAAAGAGAAATGTTTCGTAAGGAATCACTTAAAACCGATTATTGATTTTTAGAGAAACACCCAAAATTTGGTTTTCTCTAGTTCTAATTTCAAGAATCCAACGAACTAGTCAAACACTCCATAAAATGATTTCGATTCAGGCTGCGTTCGGCTGACCTCAAACTCGGCTTGATCCGCTTCTTTTTTCAGCCGGAACAGTGTTTTTCTCTCACAAAATATCAGCCGTTACAGTAAAATTCAGCCGCTACAGTGATTTTTTTGGTTCAGCCGAACGCACCCTCAGTAGATAAATGTTTCTAGAGATAATTTGAATCTAAACTGTTCGAGGACAATCCAGATCCCTACCAAATGCACTCTTAAAATACCTTGTAGTGCATCTAAGGCTATTTAAACGGCTAAGTCTGATATAGCTTTAGCTAAAAAAAATAGCTAATTGTAGTTGTTAGTATATATCTGTTTGGATCCATGGCTAATGGCTTGCCTCTTTTATCTCCCTTTCATCACCCTGCCTCTACTCCCTCAACAATCCTACTCATCTCTCGCCCGCGTCCTATTTCATCGGCCTAGCGTGACTCGAGCCCCCACCCTCCCTTCTTCTCTCTCTCTCTGGTCAGCACTTCCGCCATTGCCAACTCGCCCTATTCATTTCGCTGAAATTTGGCTTACGCTAATTTGTTGTGAGAGGAAAATACTTTTCGTTCACTGAAAAGTATTGCTGGAGTAGTGCTGAAGAACTATCTCGAGCTGATGTCATCCCATAATATTTTTTATAGTGTCCATTTTAGATCTGTAAAAATTTCTAAAGAGGCTTTAAAGGATGAAATCACAAAGTCTTTCATTTCTAGGGATATTCTAAACATAGGAACTATTTTTAATAAAACTTATATGATATGCATTTGTATTCTCTTAAGTCCATATAAAAATATTATCGCCATGTTCTTCAGCGGTACTTTTGAGCGAAGGAATAATGTTTTTCTCTCACAATAAATCGGCATAAAGCAGCAGCATCAGCCAAATTTCAGCGAATGAGTTCGGATATCAGACTTTGAGGAAGTCCAATAACCACCCTCCCTCGCTTTGTTATATCAAGTTCCTTTAGAAAATATCTATGTATAGATCGAGATTGTTGGGAACTATCGAAATGCATCGATGCATCAATTCCTATACCATAACTGGTCAGTTGGTTGGGTCCATTTTTTGAACATATAAGTGTTTCTTTTTCTTTAATTTATTCTAGAAAGAAATAGCGCTACTCGTTCAATGACAGATGATGTGACTTTCTAGAAAGAAATAGTGCTACTCGTTCAATGACACATGACGTGACCAACGACATCGCGACATCTGTGAGTACCTCCACCATCTCAGGATCCACCAGCTTAGTTTCTTAGAAATACTTACAGGGAAATATGATGCATTGATGTGTACGTGTGTTATATGTGAACGTACACATATAATACTGTACGTGAGTTCACACAACATGTACAAGAGTTAACGAAAGGATAACATAAAAGTAGCGGTCATTAGTATCTAAGTCCCAAGTGGTTCCCAAATCCAACATTCGTAAATATAAAACAAAGCACTCACTTTGTTCTAAATGATATTTTGCTTTGGTTTTGTATTGAGTTAAACTTCTCTTACTTTGACTATTTTCAGAAAACTATATTTACCTCTACACATTCAATAGGATGGCATATCAAAACATATCTCATGAAGAATCTAAATGAAATAATATAATGTTTTAGGCAATGATGCATTTTTTCAAAAATCTCGATCAAAGATAAATGAATTTGACCTAGGAAAAGTCAAAGCGGATATTTCATTAGTTTTCAATACTAATTTAGGATGGAACGGAGTATATATTTCATCTTGTCATACATGCTTAATCTTCATTAGTTTTCATACATGTGTTAATCTCCATGCCTTTTTACCATTGTGGCACTGTCTATTCGCACTATGTACGCATAACATTTTAGTCATGGTGGCACTTTTAGTTTGCCATTTCAGGGCAACACCTATGTAAGCATGTTATATATAAGAAAAAAAAATATATAGCCAGTCATTATAGAAAGCAGAAACATGTTTTTTACTAATCTAACAAAAAATTCTATATAATTCAAAAACACAGTAATAGGAGTGACAGTGACTTCACTAACTTTGTAGCTTGCTCTCTTGAACTAACACAAGTTTTTTTTAGTGGATGAACTAACACAAGTGGGGTGAGATAATTAAAAAAAAAGTTTTCAAAGAGAGAGAGAAACAACCATGAGCTGGACAGCTCGTCAACCGAAGCCTGATCAAGACTCGAGTCCAACAAGCAAGGCCATGATCTTGCTGTTAATAAAACTGTTTTAAGGACCGTCATGCAAAACTCCATCAACAAAATTTGATTTCCTTTCCATTTCCACCCCAACTATTTCCCCTCCTTCAACCCCACGGAGAAGCGAAACCGACCTTTCCCCCTCCCCCGCATCCCACCTCGCCGAGATCTAGCCTAGCCCTAGGGTTTCGCCAGCGGCGAGGCCTAAGTCATCGGCGGCGAGCCAAACTCCACGAGCGGGGGAAGAAGGGGGAAGCAGAGACGAAGAGGCAGCCATGGGGCAGCAGTCGCTGATCTACGCGTTCGTGGCCCGTGGCACGGTCATACTGACCGAGTACACGGAGTTCACCGGCAACTTCACCACCATCGCCTCCCAGTGCCTCATGAAGCTCCCCGCAAGCAACAACAAGTTCACCTACAACTGCGACGGCCACACCTTCAATTACCTCGTGGAAGACGGATTCAGTGAGTTCTCCTGCCTTCCCGAATGATCCTTTTTATTACCCGTGCGATTCGTTGCGGAATTTACCCGATCTGTCCGTAGCAGATATGCATGCTTGATTTTGGCTACTTGTGTAGATCTTACTGATTTGGTTGGTATGCGGTTAGGTGGTTTTGATTGCAGTTGGTGGTCGTGCTGCCGGTGATGTGAGTTCGTGTTGTGTGAGAACTTCTGAGAAGTATGCTCCCAGTTGTGCACGCCTTAGTTAACTGGGTTAACTGGTGAAGCCCTCCTTAGATGGTACCATCCATCGTTTGAGACTGGAGCTCGAAGTACTTCTAGATATGTGGAGTACCGTGCTAGATTAGTTAAGCTCAGGGCATTCACAGGTGCTGCCAATAAGTTTGCTATTTTTAGTAGATATATATTTGGTGATGAGTGGTGGCTGCTGCATGCTTGGTTTTTTGGCCCCTTGTTACACATGCTTTTCATGCACATTTGTCTTAGGTAATTCTTCCTGATTTAAGAACCAACATATTACAGTAGTTATAATTGTCTTTTTTTTTATGTTTTGTGTTGAAGTCAGGATAGTAACGTGAAGAGAGGCAGAGGAAGACCGAAGTTGACTTGGGTAGAGGCAATAAAAGGAGACTTGAAAGGATGGAATATACCCAAAGACTTAGCCTTAGATAGGAATGCTTGGAAGACAGCTATTCACGTGCCTGAACCTTGATTGTTTCTGTTGGGTTTCAACTCTAGCCTACCCCAACTTGTTTGGGACTTAAAGGCTTTGTTGTTGTTGTTGTTGTTGTTGTTTTGTGTTTTGTGTTGAATGATGGTTTGAATATATTATTATCTTTTTTATTATGGTATGTTGTCACAGTAAGATTCCATCGGCCATAAGTTTTATTTTGGCGTACATTGTTTAGAGGAGACATTGTCATCAATGTGATTTCGTAAATAATAACTGGATATGACACAGGTGTGGTAGGTAGTCTGCCCATCATTAGACTAAGGTTCTGTTGATGCAGCCTACATAATGTGAGAATGACTCTTCTAAGAATACTTACACTATTGCAATATTAGTGTTTGTCCTGTTCTTTTTTGGTTGTTTGTCTCGCTTTGTTTCATACCTTGGCCTTTTCCTTGTCGACTCATACTGGATCCATGTATCATTAAGAGGTGAGGCTTACACTCAATATTAAATCAGGTCATATTGAGTGCATGTAATCGATTGTTTACCAGTTCTAGTCTTTGTAGCAACATCATCTTATTTCTACCGTGCTTACTAGCATCTTAGATTTAAGATGTTATTCTCATTTTGAATACACGATAAGGTGAGTTGGAGGTCATATTGTTGGACCATTAAACATTAATGTTTGTATATGTTGCTTCACATGCTAAAATGTTGTATGTTCTCACAACTTAAACCAGCCAATAAGGGCTGATGCCAAAAGTTTTACATTACAAACATGGTCCATTAGCCTTTTTTTTAATACTTTTTTTAATAAAAGAACTCGAAAGTGCTTTCTGCCACCCTGTCATAAAGCGCGCACTTCTCAAGAAAATTTGGTTTGTGTTGCAATAATCCCATGTCAGTCAATTTTAAATTCCGGAAGTTATAAATTTACAGGTCTAATGCCTTACTTTGCTTTGCAGCATACTGTGTTGTTGCTGTTGAATCGGTGGGACAACAAATTCCCATTGCTTTCATGGATAGGGTTAAGGAGGATTTCACAAAAAGGTATGGTGGTGGGAAAGCTGCTACTGCCGCAGCTAACAGCCTCAACCGAGAGTTCGGGTATGTATCACCAAGGTCTTGAACTCGGTGAATATATTGTGCCTCATCGGACTAGTTTTTCCCCCTTAAAACAATATGTACTTTCTGCAGATCAAAACTTAAAGAGCACATGCAGTATTGTGTGGATCACCCTGAAGAGGTTAGCAAGCTGGCCAAAGTGAAGGCGCAGGTTTCAGAAGTCAAGGGTGTTATGATGGAAAACATTGAAAAGGTACAATTTGTGGATTGATCGAGCTTTACAATCTAGACTGTTGGTATTGATGGCCACTGTAAGAATGTTCTGATTGCTTTTTTCTTCTTTTTTCAATGCAGGTTCTAGATCGTGGAGAGAAGATTGAGCTGCTTGTCGACAAGACTGAGAATCTGCGCTCACAGGTCTTCATGCATTCCTTTATCCTGCTCTGTAGTGCTCCACTGAATATTGTATTGTTTTTCATAGATGTCAGAGGGCGTACATGTTGCCTAGGAGGGCAAGTTAGTTTCCATAGATGTCTGAATATCTGTAGGTTAGAAAGGCAATCAGTTTCCATATATGCTGAAGTACCTCTAAGCAAGTAAGCAGCATATACTATGTCAAAAACCAAGAATACCATTGTTGACTTGTTAGCGTTATATGCAAGTATAAATACAAAGTATTGAAATGGATGTGTAACCTTTCTATCGATTCTTTTTTGGGTTTTAGAAGAGTGAATGATCTTAAATCTATTTTGATTTTGTGATGTAACTCCTATTTGCATGGTCGATTTGGGGTATGTGAAACAATAGTCAGTTTCTTATAATTTGTCTGGGTTTGTTGCAGGCACAAGATTTCAGACAGCAAGGAACAAATGTGAGGAGAAAGATGTGGTTACAGAACATGAAAATCAAGCTCATCGTCCTGGGAATAATCATTGCACTTATTCTGATCATTATCCTCTCTGTCTGTCATGGTTTCAAATGCCATTAAGCACAGACCAGAATACTGATACATTCAACTGCACCTATTATACCGCTGCTTGGAGCAAGAAAAAAGTGTGCTCTGGCCCGGTCATTGTGCACAGGTGTTCTGCATTGTCTTAGTATTTGATAAATGTTGGATGGTGACTGGGTTAGTTGTGTCAACTGTCAAAACTGTCGTGTATTTTTTGGACGCTATATATGTATAGCCTGGATATGAGTAGATTTACTGAACTTCTCCTGAATGTTGTGACTCAGTCCCTTGCTCTTCTTCTGGACAATAATGTGCGCATTTGGGGCATCTTGCATTGACCTCGTTTAGTGCAAAAGTGCAGCTTGGAAAATATGAGCACGGAATCGATTTCCAATGTTTCAGGGTCTTGCTATTTGACTATACAAGTTCTTTCTATAAATGTGTAAATGGGAACTTGGTACAGATCGTCAAACATTGAGCAAAAGTTTGTTAATTCACGGTAGAGCTACTTAACCAAACCTTAAGTCAAACTAGGCATGTTCATGAACACTATATTCTCGTAAAAACAAACAAAAGAACTTGAGAGCATGACATTCTTATTCTTACAAACAAAACAAGAAACCGAAAGTACTGAAGTACATTACATCCTCGCAAGCTGGTCGTGAGCCTTGAAACCCCAGCCAGTGCCAGTCAGCAACCTGCGTGGGGAGGATGACCCATTAAAGTTAATCTGTAATCAAGTTGGTGGCCAGTCTCTCCAATTCTCCATTTTGCTGCTTGTCTCTTGTATCTGTACCATGCCTGTACCCTGTGCTTAGGCAGGTTTTTCCAGCCAGTTGAAATCAACCGGGTAACAAAACTGCACTCTGCAGACCTCAGCTGCGCTGCTGTGTTTTCTCCCTGCCCCCCCTGCTGTGTGGTACTCTAATCCATCGCGTTTGCCCATCCGTGCCCAAGGGAGGTGCGATAGCAGGAAATCGCCTCTGGGTTCAGGATTTCCTCCCGTATTTCCTTGGGCGAATACGTGCCGCTTCTGCATCAAGAGCACACCAACATCCTCTCGTCTTTGCATCTCGACTATACAAGGTTTTGTTTCCTCACTGAACAAACAAATGTGCTGCATCTCGTTGTGTTGTTGTGGGTACTCTAATCCATCGCGTTTGCTAATCCGTGCCCCAAGGGAGCTGCGATAGCACTATAGCAGCAACGCCCCGTGCTGGCGTGGCGCCTCTCCGTAACATGACACGGAATTCACGCAACTTGCGTTCCTGCAGCTGCAGCAGCTCGATCGGCGGTTGCCTGTGCAAATGCAATGCACTCGCCACTCGCTAGTGGTCTTCTTCTTTCTCGTATCCCAGATTCGAGTTATCCGAGTAAGATTGGTGACATAATAACATATTAACATTAGGCCTCTGATGACAAGCACATGAGAGTTTATTTAGAAGCGACCATTTATTTTATTTATTGATCACGCCAATATATAGGATTGCCCCCTTTCATTCAGGTAACAAGAAGAGCCACAAGAACCCCAATTACAATCAGGATACTTCCTGCATTCAACTTTGATGAGGCCGCAGCTGCAGCAGCATCACGTGAGAGCGATGGTGAGGGCGATGGTGCCCAAAACGCGTTCCCATCTGACAACACACGAACCGACGGCCGAAACTTGGGCAGCTGGCCGGTGAGGCGATTGTTGGTAACATCAAGAAACCCAAGCTTGGGCAATGTCGCGAGAGCATCCGGTATCTCCCCGGCGAGGCGGTTTTCGCCCAGGTCAAGTCTTCGAAGCTCCGTCAGGTTCGCCATGGCCGGCGAGATCGTCCCTGAAAAGTTTGCGGCATGCAGGAAGATCCTGCTTACATCTGGCTCGGTGACGCAGGCCAGGCCCTGCCATGACTGGCAAGGGTCGTTCCCCCTCCATGTCCTCGCAAGCGAAACGGGGTAGCCGAACCCCTCGGCCACCCGGAGCAGAGCGCTCACCTGCGCGCTGCACGGCCTCCCGGGCTCGTCCGAGCAGAAACTGTTCCCGTCGACCACGTCGTCGGCGGCCACGCCCTTGGCGAACCGCGGCACCGGCCCCTGGAGGAAGTTGCCGGACAGGGAGACGTTCCTGAGAGTCGCGATCTCGCCCAGGACCGCCGGCACCACCCCGGTGAGCGAGTTGCCCCGGAGCTGGAGCGACTCCAGCGCGGTGAGCGAGGAGAGGGAGGGCGGCAGCGTCCCGGCCAGGCCCTTCCCGGCGAGGTCGATGGCGGTGACGCGGCCGGAGGCGGAGCAGGTGATCCCCTCGAAGGTGGTGCAGGCGTCGCCGCCGGCGGTCCAGGAGGAGGGCGGCGTCGCGAGGGATTGGACGAGGTCGGCGATGGCGCTGGCATCTGAGGGCTCCATTCCCACTGCCGCCGCCGCAGCAAGGCAGCACGAGAGGAGGAGGACGAGGAGGCCCTTCTTCCTCGTCCCCGTGGTGGTGGATTCTTGACGATGGGCGGTGGTCGGCATTGTCACTTTGTCAGGTTGCGTTGGGAGTTGGACGCGATGGATCGTCGCCATCGGTCGGGTTCTCTTGTTATTATATACTAGACTAGAGTCCAGTCTCGTACCCAACGCGGAGTCTCGTCCGTGTGGACTGACTGGCACTAACTACACACAGCCTAGAGTCCAGTCTCATACTCAACGCGGACTGACTGGCACTAACTACTCACAGCCTGTGCTGCGTTTTTTTTAATGATACGGTTTGGGAATGGAATTGCGGAGGGAGCGGCGGTGGCATCAGTGATTACTTAATTTGTCGGGTGTGTCTACGTAGCATGTGACCGATGGTTTGCTTAACCATTAGTTATGTTCAGATGTATTTCATAATGTTCACATAGTACATGTTGTTCTATAATGTCGTGATGTTCTATGTTGTTTTTTGCGATGTTCAAGTGATACATATGTGATGTTTCGTTTTGTTAGATGATGTGTTTTAATGTTATGTGATGTTCTCAGGCGGCTGCTAAAATACATGTGATGTTCTGTGATGTATTTTAGAATGTTCCGTGATGCACCTTGTGATGTTTCGACAGTATACAAGTGATGTTGTGCGAAATTGGACTGACAAGAAAACAAAATATCAGGCAACTGCATTTGAGTAAAACTCTAACAGCCTGTTCGTTTGAGATTATCAGCTAAATCAGCTAGCTAGCCAGCAATGTTTTTCTCTCAAAAAAACCAGCCACCAGTACTTTCAGCCAGCCAGATCAGCCCAAGCGAACAGTCATTTGTTTGGTTGGGGCACGGTAATGGCATTGAGAGCAAATGGAGCAGTCGCAGTGCACTAGCACTGTCCTGTAATGCTTTAACGCTTGGATAGAAGCGGAAACTTTAGCTATTAAAACTACTTTAGTCACTTTTAGTCACTCTTGAGATACTAATGTGACTAAACTAATTTAGTCACTTTTTATTCAGTTTGTTTGATATTTTAGTAGCTAAAGTGACTAAAGCTAAACTTCAGCAAGGGGAACCAAACAGGCCGATACTCCCTTCGGTTTTCTAAAAGATGTCGTTTTAAGTTTGTCTTAAGTCAAACATTTTAAACTTTAACTATAAATAATTTTTTTTTGGTTGAGTTTGAAAACATGAAAGTGATGTAAGTAGATTTATCTTCAAATGTAGTAATGGTCAAAGTTGTTTTTTGGATGCGTGACTTGAGTGTTAATAGAGCATCGAGAGGGTAAACTAACTGAAGTAGTTGAGGGTAAACTAAACCAACTGAAATAGTTGAGGGAGTAAATCGAACAAAACGTTAGTTTAGGGTTATCTGGACATATGCCAAACTTGGGGGGAGTAATTTGAACTTTTTTGTCGATTAAATAAACCAACAAGTCAGGTTCCAAACTCAGGACTCCATAGCAACGGTAAGTGTTGAGTTTCAATCACAAACTACTTCATTCAGAAAGTTTAACCAACTATTACACTTCAGTACTAAGTTGAAAAAAGGCATGCAAAGCAGATTAGAAGATCTTCAGTACCACAAGTCCGCTTTTGCAACCTAGCTGATATAGAGCTGCGTTGGTGACCTTTTCTTCCCTCATAGAGGTTAGTATGTCCTCTCGATGTTTGTACTTGCTAAAAAGATTTTGGCCTTTAACATACTTAATGAAAGAATCCCCAAGTGTTTCTAATGATTCCAGTGAAATAGTCTCCTGGCATTCCTTTGTTGTAAGTGCTTCCAGAATCTGCACATGATACAGCTTGCTAACTTCAAATTCATAGGAAATGAAATAGTTAAGCATTTACCAATGTTGTTATTAGTTTAGAAATTAAGCATAATACAAGCAAGCCATCTGTTCTTTTTTTTAAACTACTGTTCAGTAGCATGTAATGCATTGACATTGCCAATTGACAAGTCTTCTTTATTCTCAACACCTCGACAAAATAAGAGCAACTAAAATTCTTTTGTAGCTTAAAAGCTCATCCAATTAACCTTAGTATCTAGTTGCCTACTACAGCTATTAGTGGAGTAAATAACTGCTGAGAAAAAGAGAACCTTCATAGCTGCTATGTTGAACTGTTGCATTCTTGGGCCCAACTGGATTTTCAACTTTGCAGAAAGAAGCAGACATTGAATACGGTACATTATGGAAGGAACAAATGAGAAGCTGAACAAAGTATTTGTTGACACTGGTGTCATGACTACTCTGCAGAGTTCAGGTGGCAACTTAACACTCCCAGGTTCTGAAGAAAGGAAAAGGATAAGTTAGCATCATACATATAGCCTATTAACAGCAGTAGGGTCACAGGTTATAACTCTTAACTTCTAAACTCATTCTCTGTCTTCTGAGAGTAGAAAATTACATGTGCATACCTTTTCTTTTGCATGGAATTTACTTACTAAATTACTCCCTCCATTTCAATATAAGGTGCGGTTTGACTAGACGTGGTCTCCAGAGTTATACTTTGACCTATATTTTATCTTATAAGATAGTGCTTTCAAATACTAATCCAATGGTATCACTTATGTAAGGCTAATTGTTGGTTGTATGTACTGTTAGAATAAGATATATGCTAACATGATATGATTTGTAGAGGAAGTATTTTGCACTATCAAGAGGGAAAAATATTGTGTGTAATAACGAATTTATATATGCTGTTAGAACAAGATATCCAAGAGGCAAAAATATTGGTACTATTAACAGAAAACAACCTTTCCTTTTTTCTAGCATTTGTAGAGGAAGTTTTGCACTGTGAATAATCCAAGTTTGCTTTCAGAGGTAAAATGTGGGCCATATCCAAAGCATACAAAAAGAATATCAATTTTTGGATGTAAATTCTACCAATTACAGGAGCACATAACAAATATAAGGACAAATATAAATCTAATCTTAATATGTCAAGGGCGTTGGTGCCGCCCTTGGCTTCTCAACTCGAAGCTAGAACCAGGTAAAGGTGCCAGGGTTTTTGCCTAGCTACCGAGCAGCAGGGGATGAGATTAAGAGTAGCAGAGGCAGATTAGGAGATAACTTGTTTCTTCATTCCTTTCTCATAAGCTGATTACATAAGTCTATATACAGAGCAGCCCAGCCACAAACGCCCAGCTCTGCTCTCATGCGCCTAGCTCTGCTCTCCTTGTTTCTCTCCCCACTAATCACTCTCATTACTCTAATACCTTCCCCATAAATCTTAATTGCTGCTGACTACATATGGTACCTCCTTGGATGTCGCTCTGGCCCTTCTGGCCATATTTCTCATTAATTCTATCCTTTCCCCTAGACTACTAATTGTCATTAACTACAGCTGGTGCCCCCCTTGGAGACTACCCAGGCTGCGTCCACATGACATCTCCCCCTCCCTTGATGAGCAGCTCATCCTCGAGCTGGAAGGTTGGAGAGCGGTCGATGAAGCTGTCGATGTCCTCCCAGGTGGCTGATGCAGTTGGAGGGGTTCCGGCGGACTTCTTCATGAGCCAGCAGACCGGATGATCCTTGTGCCAAAAGGACATGGTGAAGGCCGCAAAGTCCCATAGGATTGGGCCGAGTGCGGCTAGCTATTGGGTACCCAGTACCACGTCGTAACCCGGCAAGGGGAGCGCGAAGAAGTCAGCTGAGAATTGATCACCGTTGATGGAGAATGGCACCCGCCTATACACGCCTGTGCATGGCACGCGCTCGCCACTAGCCATCGTGATGGTCGCCGAGCTGCAGCCAACCATAGGTAGTCCGGTGCGGCTGGCAACCTTCTTCTCAACGAGGTTGTGCGTTGAGCCCGAGTCGATGAGGGCGTGTGTAAGTACAATCAAGCCTAATTATGGGTTTTGGTGTTGATGACTACTTAATTAGAGGACTAATGAGCTTTACAAGTATGAGATATAGGGAATCTATGCAAAGAGGATGTAATAAGGAAAGGAGGAGCCTCCAATTATTTTCATGGACAACAGTCTACTCAAAGGAGGTTTACATTTCATTTTTATATTTTGAAATTGAGTATAGGTATGTCGTACTATCAAGAGGGACACCTCATCTTGTCAAAATTATGTGACCAAGTGCTCTAATTCTACACAAAACATCCTCATTCATCCACCAAGATAGCCAGCAAGTCAGATCCTTTTTAGCTAACCTAGTGAGTGCAGCAGTGCCGCACTTAAAAGTACTGTTTGGTAATAGGGGTATTTATACCCTCTCCTGTCCTCCCCAACGGTCACTGCTTCTTCTTCAATGTTCATTTCGCGAGTAGACCGACCAGAGCTCTTCTCTCTCTACCTCCATTGGCACACCTTGAGCTCCCAAGCAACTCCATTGACATCCCATCAATCCTTGAGAGAAAAAGGTGCCAAAACTCGATTAGAAAGCAGATCCACTGGTTCCCCAACTCTAAAGAGCATTTGGTTCACGTTTTGGCCGACGGTGGTGTTTGTTACTCTTGGAGCTTTGCTCCTAGCCAGCTAGAGCATCACTCGATGAGCTTGCCAACCTTGTGGCAGCCTCAGGAGGTTTGTAATCAACCCCTATAGCTAGTGAAATCACCCCTCATCTCAAGAGTTCACTCTCTTGACTTGAGAACGAGGTAGGATTGCAAAACCCTAAGCCTTAGTGGCTGCCTTAGTGGCACAACCTCAACAACGTGGACTTAGGCAAGCTTTAGTGGCGAGCTGAACCACGGGATAAATCATTGTGTTATTTGTGTTGTTGTGCTTCACTTGTTCTTGTGGTGATTTCTAGGGTTTGAGCCCGATTTACTTGTGTGTGGTGTTCCTACCACTTTTGGCTCTCGATCTATGAACTATACCCTTGTAGGAAGCTAAGAAATTTACTCGATCTAAATTTTATTAGGTAGATTTTGAACTGTGGACAAACATTCTCTGCAGGCGCGGTAGTGCCGCGGTCAGGGTGCGGCAATGCCGCACTTAGGTCTGATGTTTAATTGAATTAAGTTTTGATAGCCCTATTCACCCCCTCTAGGCACTCCAGAGATCCTACAGCATGAACGTTGACGTCGCCTAGCCGGAGGCGCACTTGCATGGTGTTCCTGGTGTGGATGCCGGTGATCGCGTGGAGCAACATCGGCAGTGTTGG